AAGACTCAAATCAGGTTTCCTTCTCTAATAAAATGTGATTTACATTTGAGAGATTGTAAATTTTTAATCTGGTTAGTTTTCAGTTTATAAGAAGCTAAACACAAACAAAACCCAATAAATATAGAGCAGGAAGGCAAATTAATGATTATCCATTTTGTAGTCCAAACCTCTCACACTGTGAGTAGAAAGTCAATTTGCAGAAATATTTTGCCATTAGGCCAGTATAGCAGCTTTTTAATTATTAAAGAAGCCTGTCAGATCTTTGAAAAACTATACAACATCACAGATTTTCTTCTCCTTTGTAGCCAGTCTTGCTGTCAGAATATATTTAGAAACATTGATGCTTAAGCAAATGTGTAATACATGTGGTCAAAGTAATGCAGCATAAATGTACGTTTACCTCAGGGAATGCAAAACTAGAGTTTTGATGTTTGTGCTTAAATATTTAGTGCCTAGGCCAGCTCCAGGCAGAACTGATAAAGCATATCTTTGTCATTCTCCTCTTCTTCCAGCTCCTTTCTGTGTAGTATGACTAATGTGGTGGACCTTGGTCTATGATCCAGTGTTGATCACTGCCCCAGTACATCTCAACTCTCTTTTACTGTAGTTTCCAACATAGATTCTTTTGCCTTCTGTCTCTTCTCTCCAACCCATCCTTCCACCTGCAAGTCTTCTCTAGCTTCAGCCTCTGATACAGAAATTGGGTAGGCTAATCAGGCTTTGAGGAAAAGCCACAACGAAGATACTGTGTTGAGATCAGACCAGACACAAAAGAACTTATCCAGAAACACAATTTGCAAGTGCATTATCTCAAAAGGGGAAAACTAACACATCATAAATCAGGGAATGAGTGTGTGAATTGGGAACTAAAGGAAAAGCATCCATTGGATGGTAGGCTGCAGAGAGGAGTGCAGAAATCTGGTCAGAAATGTGTTGAATTCATCCCAGGATATGTGGTGATGGATGATGGTCCAGTTCAAGACAAATCTAGCAGAATTTGGGCTCTGGCTTCCAGTATCTCTATAGTTATCTTTACATATGTTGGGTCTTAAAGTGGCAGGCTTCTGACAGCCATCCTATAGTCCTTAAAACCCCATTGACTCTTTATGTAACAATTAATCAGTTTTAGAAATGTATCTCCACCATATAATAATGAGAAAGATACAATAATCAGGAAAAGTTTCAAATTATTAGCTATCCCTGCTGTTCACTCAAATCTCCCAGAACACTCCCTAGCCTTCCTGGTACCATTTTCTTTTTGAAATTGTAATAAGAGCTAGCCCTTACAGAGTGCTTAGTGTGACAATTCCTGTTTTAAGTGCTTTAAATGTAAACTCATCACATATTCAATTCATTTTATGTATGTACAACTCATTACATATCCAAACTCATTTTATCCTCACAAATACCATACGAAGTAGGAAAATTAGTATCCTTTCAGATGAGAAAAGCTGAAGCACAGAGAAGGTAAGTGACATGCCCAGGGTCATACAGCTAGTGAGTGGGGGAGTTAGAATTTGAAACCAGGTACTGTGGCTTCAAAGCTCACGCATTTTATGACTTCAAGGTTACTGTCTCCACTAATGCTTTTCCCTTTTATAACCAAAAAGAGGGATTATGAGAGGGGGAGTCCAGGCTGAAGATGAGGGAGTGCTCTTACCATTGTATATTTTCATACTGGTGGATGCTTCTTTACATTCATTAAACCAATCATTGTAGATGCACTTGAACTTTTGAAGGATTTATTCAGTTATTCAACAAACATTTAATAATAAGAAATGATTTCCATCCTTCAGAAATCTAGAGTCAGACATGAAAACAGGTAACTTATTTATTACTGCTGTTACAAAAGTATGAGCAAACTCATATAACAGAGCAGAGATAATAGAGCAATAATATCTACTGGAGATTTCTAAGAGTCTTCACTGAAAATATGATATTTATATTGGGACTTAATGTTTAAGTAGGGGTTTTTATGACCAAGAAGAGGGAAAGGAATGTTTCAGGTGATGAGACTCCATGAGCAAAGGCAGAGTGTCATAAAAAGGCTGAGATCATTTTGGAAATAACAGGGACTTGTATGTCATAGGAACAGGTGGTTCACAGTGAGTAATGGTAAGAAGTGAGAAGAAGGATGTCAAAAATTTATGTATGCCAAGCAAAAGGATTGCCTTTGGTAAACACTCAGAAACTTTCAGAAGTTTTTATGCAGAAGAGTGATGTGAAAAGATTTGTTTGCTAGGTAGATCATGCTATATAGATTTTTGGAGACTAAATCATCATGTAAGGAATATTATGAATGAGGCTTGGAAATTTCTCAGCCAGAGGCTTTGACAGCTAGAGCTCTGCAGTGACTGTGCACTTGGAAAAGAGGAATTGACTTTGAGACAAGATTTGATAAATGACTGAAGGTAGGGGATGAGGTCCATTGAGGAGCAATGCCTTTAAAGTTTCTAGCTTGTGAGATGAGATCCAATTTAAAAATAACAGTTTAAACTGTTGATGAGTGAATGAGTGAATGGATCAACAAAGTGTGATGTGTATATATACACACAATGGACTATTATGCAGCCTTAAAGAAGAAGGAAGTCCTGCCATTTGTGACAACATGGGTGAACCTGGAAGGAATGTTAAATGAAATAAGCCAGTGGTGGAAAGACAGATATATGTGATCTCAACTGTATATGGAACCTCAGTAGTCAAACTCAGAAGCAGAGATTAGAATGGTGATTTCTAGGGCCCGGGGGAAAGAAAAGGGGAGATGTTGGTAAAAGGGTATAAAGGGTATACATTTCAGTTACTGCAAGATGAATTTGGATACAGCAATGTGACTGTTAACAGCAACAGTAACAGTTAACAATATTGTATTATATACTTGGAATTTGCTAAGAGGGTAGATCTTAAGTGTTCTTACCACACACACACAAAAAAAGGGAAAAAAGTATTTAAAAAGGGGACCATATGAAGTGATGGATATGTTAATTAGCTTGATTGCAGTGATTATTTTACAATAGGTAGATGTATCAAATCAAATTGTTGATAATTTTAATTGTCAATTATTAAAAAAAACAAGGTGTGACTTTTTTCTCTTTTAGTCTAAAGAATCCAGGTTTAGCCGTCTAGAGATAAGATGAACTTCCATGGTTTTACAGAGCCAGATGTATTTTTCCCTGTTGCTCTGCCTTCCCCTTGGGTGATAACCTCACCCATCATCTCCTCACCCAGATTGTTAGTTCCACGGTCCGTCAACTAGGAAGGAGTGAAAGTGAGAGGAAGCCCAATCAGGAAGTCCACTTGCATCCTGCTGGCCACAGCTGAGGCACACAGCCATGTCTAGAAGTAAGGAAGGGGAACCATAGTCTTCATTCTGCATGGCCCTGTACCCAGCTGTCTCGTCTGAGAGTTTCAGTCCCAGGCAAGTTCACTATGGCTTCTGTGAGACCAAAAAATGACAACAGAACATTGTGGGTACAGAGGGGCTCATACCCAGTTTTATTCTCACAGTGACAGGTCGAGTGCTAGAATCCCCTCAGCCTCCGTCTCTGCCTCCTGCTCAGCCTCTGCCCCAGGCTCTGCCCTTGGCTCCCGTCTCTCCTGCTCACTTGCTCTCTTCTCTAGGCTCTTCTCTTAGCACCAGGGGAGCTCTTTTTATAGCAATACTGGAGCAGTGGCTGATTGCCAGGGGTATGTAAGCATGTGCCTATGCAGTAGGCTAAGGCATCATTGCACACATAGTGGGCAGGTGAGGATCCTGGCCATGGAACTTCCAGTTTCCCTACACCAGATAAAACCCAGGGGTTCTATTATTAAAGGAATAGAGGGAGGATGGATACTGAGGTACAATTAGTAGTTAAGTGCTACGGAGTGTCTGATGACCACATTCATAGAGATCTGATAGGGAGAAGGTAGAGAAGCTTTAGGGGGACATGGGGTCGTAATGAGCTCCATTTTGGGTAATAGTAAATTATAGGTGTCTATGAGACGTTCTAGGAGCTTTGTTCAATAGGTAATTTGAAGTAGTGATTTTGATCATGACAGAGAGATTAATTTGGCAGTCAGCAGCAATTCGAAGGTATGCCAAGTGAACCGGGAAGGGCATTAATAGCAAAGGCTGAAGACTAAGAGCAGAATCTAAAGGACAACAAGAGAGCAATGGATTGGAGATAAGAGCAGAAACCCCTTCAAAATGTTCAGATCATAGGGAGTGGGGGTGGGCAGAGAGTAGGAACGAATGACATGAAGAGTCTTCTTGAAGACCGTGGAGCCCATCTTACTGTCCTGTGGCAGCAGTCTGCGACATCTTGCATAGACCACCATGCGCATGCAAGTGGTTCTACCGTGCCACCTCCTACTTAGCAGAAAACAGCTCCGAGTGTCCAGTCACAGTGGCCTTCAAAATTGGCCTCAATTCACTGCTCATTTTGCTCGTAGGAAGCAAACACCAGTGCGACAGGGGAGTCTAAGAAATGTTAAAGCACTTAGCCCTCAGTTCAGAGAACTGAATGATATACTATCACCCAGGTGCTTGCAGTAATTCCCCATTTAATTTCAGAGTCAACCCCAGCATGGAGCGCATACATGTTACCTTGATATTACCTTTGCTACACTTTTTTTTATTATCACTGAGGCAATGCGGAAACAATGTTGTGGGCATCCTGGGCTTTCTGGTGCTGGTCATGTTGGCTTCCGAGGCTGGCTGACCTTAGAACTGACTCATAGGAGCTGACCCTAGGGTCACCCATAAGCACAACAATTGATGCTCATCGTTATATGGAAACCAAGAAAGGAGTAAGGGTTGAGGAGCAGCAAGTGCTGAGAAAGGTCAGGTGAGGTGAGCACTTACTTGCAGCACGGCCTCTGGCAGTTTCCTCAAAGGGCAGTTCAGCACTTTCGTACTAGCAAAAGCTGGGGCGTCATAACTGGTCGTATAATATACAGTGCACAAAACTGAAGCGAAGACAGAAAATTTAGGTTACGCTTTTAAGGAATTTGCTGATGAATGGTCATTACCGAGGCTTAGAATGCGGTTTCTCATTTTCTGTGGACAAGACCATAAACAAAAAATCCTCACTACATTTTCTTTCTACTCCCTTGTTAGCATTCAGCCAATTGGGAACATGTTATTAAAAATGAAAATGAAAATGAAAAAAAATAAAAAAAATAAAAAACAACACAAGAAAGAATTTGCTGATGAGCTGAAGCTCCGTGGATGGCAGGGGGAAGGGAAGGAAAGCAGGAGAGACCTTGGAGTGGAGGGCAGATCTATAATGAATCACAGTCTTCCTTCCCTTCTTCCTCCTTCACTTCGTCCTCTTTGTCCTTCCATTCTTCTTCCTTCCACGTGGGAGTTTTAAAGTGTTCACAGGCTGAGAGGAAGAATCTAGTGCAAAGCAAAGATGTTTAAGTACAGGAAAGAGATGTTTAATATAAAAGGGATGCCCTTTGTAAGAGAGGCAGAAGCAAAGGATATAAGAATATAGTCTGTGTTGGATAAATTCGGAGGTGGAATTTGAGGAGACAAACTGGGAGAGGTTCCCGACTGATATTTTATTTTTTCTCTATAAATTAGAGAAATGTCAATTTGTCATTTAACTTCAAACAGGGTCTGGTTTATGAACCTAGTATATGGGATGATCAGAGGGCACATGAGGAAAGTGACAGGCTGCAGTGGGAACTGGGCTCAGGAGCTCAACCAGGACGAACGTAATGAGGACAGAGCACGGCCAACGGCCCAGAGGGAGTCGGAAAACCATCAACGGCACAACAAACCTGCGTACATGATTCTCTTCAGCAATATTTTATACATAGATGGTGCATGTTGGTAAAATTCCAACTAGTTTGGGAATGATTAAGTAGCTTATTAAGAGGACTTACGCACTATCTCTCAGAGAACTGGACTCTTGTATTAACACTGTACTATGTGCAAAAATAAACTTTGTTCCTTTAAACTCTAAATAAAGACTTAATTATTTCAGGTTATGCACTTAGGAAATGGAATACTGTGAAATGGCTGTTTGCCTTAGGAGTTGACCTCACGCTGGCGTTCATTATTTAGTATTTACTGAGAGCCTAGTATTTAAATTAAGCCTAGTATTTACATTAAATTATGACTGAGGACTCAATACCTAGGGGATAAGAGAGAAGGGGCTGTATCATCACTAATGCTCAATCATTTGAAAAACAATTTAGTTTTCTGTGCTGTAGAAACTGCTGTGTTGTCCCTTTGTTGCACAGAAATTTGGTTCAGAGACGCAGGGAAGTCAGAGTGAATGGTAAGGAAGGAATTCATTAATGTGAGAATAGCAGGGAATGGCAGCAGGGACGCAGGCAGCAGAGAGCAAGGGACAACAAACAGGGATAGGGATGCTCATTGAACTCCTGCTTGACATTGGGAAAATCCCTTGCCAGCTCCCAAAGCCAGGGTCACCTGGCATCCATTGTTGCTTGAATCTGCCTGGTGCAGGAACCAAGTCCCTACCACCCCAGGATTTGGGGGAGCCTCGGAGCACTGGATGGAGTGAGATTATGTTCTGAGTGCTTCCCAAAGGCAAAGTAAGGAGATTTTAAGACAGCTACTAAAAAGCACAATCATACAGCTGCAGTCCTGTCCAGGTCACCCAGGTGATGGGAACTTGCAAGCCCAAATCAGAGCTCTCAGTAGCCCCTCCCTGCTTATGTGGAGTAGAACAGAGACAGAGTAAAGACTTGTAACACACTTGAAGAAAGAGGAGTGTGGGCAACCTCAGAGAGGAGGTATGTTTAAGGGTTTAGTGCTTGGGTTTTTATAGGGCCTTAGGTAGGGGTCGACATAAGTCATGATGTATACAGGTGATTCATAATTCCTTTGAAGTGTTGTCTTGAAAATAAGGTTATTTAGGTGGCTGTGTTGGTCCAGATCTCAGCTATCTTTATCCACAAAGGTTTATTTATATTTTGGAGGTCTGTCTCCTGTCCTGGTTACAAAGTTACTTGATTAAGGGGCTGGAAGAAGAGGAAGAACAGCAAATAGATTAAGTTAAAGAGTGAACTGGGCCTTTTTCCCCGGCTAAGTACATTTTACAGTGGCCTGACCCTGGTCCTACTTCCCTGCTCTGCATCGTTGCGTAGGGCAGAGAAATCCTTGATTGACAATCTTTGGCCTTGGAGGCCTGATCTAATTGGTACAGTGAAGATGGGCTCTTGATATTTTTCTTTATCTGGGGAACTGTCTTTCATCTGAGGAATATATGGACATTCCAAGTCTCTCCTGGCTTTTGAATCTTCAACCAATTAATTAATTAACTCTGTGAGTCATTTATGGCTCTCTGTTTTTATATGGTTAACTCTTTGGATCCCTTTTAGTGGGCTTCACTGGCTTTATTCACTTTCTACCCCACCCATGTCTGTCTTTCTGCCTAGCACCTTAGCTATAGCAATTCTAAATAATATGAGTATGAAATAAATTACGGTTATGCCTAGCAAAATGCCTTACAATCATTAATTCAGTCAAGTCATTAAGCTTTCATAGCCTCTGTTTTCTCATCTGTAAAATGGGAGTAATTATCCCAACAAAGTAAAATCAGTAGCACTTATCCTATGATAATTATCTCTGAATATTAATTTTCTTGTCTACTTACCTATTACACTATAAGATTCAGTTAGTTAATGAATTGTTAATGAATTGTCCTTTCTCAATGACAAAAAGTTAAGAGAACAAAACTCTGAATCTTTGGACAAATTGTACAAACCCAAGTAAGAAGAATGATCTACCAGTTCTTTATTTCACACAGTTTGTACTGAAACTTCTTTAAATGTTCATTGTTTTCTCTAGGCTTAGAGATATAATCTTTTTCTAGGGTAAGTGCTTGGCGTAATCATACTTCCTGCACCTCTGACCACTAACTGGAAAGTGTGCACTCCAGAAGGAAGGCAAGAGCCTTACATGCTTTATAACCTTTAACTTGCTTTCATATCCTTTATTGCATATGATTCCCCAGAGAACATTTCACTCGCATGGAAATATATTTTAACATCCAGCTTTTATTTTACCACCTTGGCTTTTTAAAATAACGTTCAATTTTTGTCTCACTGAATTTGTTGACTTGCAGTTTCCAGAGATTCCATCTGAAAACCCCCAAAGGTGAAATGCGTTGCCCGGTGGTGGCCTGAAGAGTTAACACTTTGCATTTTGTCCACTGGAATGTCTTTATCATGCCTCACAATGAAAGAGTTTCAGGAATGGAAATTGGAATCAGTTGGTGATGTCATGAGTAAGGATATTCATATTTGGCATTTAAACCACAATCGTTTTATGTTGGATGCAGAGGAATTAGCCACACTGTTACCTGGTAGATGGTTAGGGAAAGAGTGGTGGTTATCCATTAGACTGTGTTTACCTTCTTAATTCATTAGCACAATACTTTGGTTTCTAGGTTTTTTTTTTTTTCTTTTCACTTTTCTGCTAGAATAGGAGCAGTTTGAAGACAGAAATTACATCTTATTCCTTCCTGCAGTCCTGGAACCTGTAAGGGACCATGTACTCAGTAAGTATTTCCTGAATTCATGCATCATATGTGTTTAGTTTCAGGTAAAATGAAAATTGGATAAAAATGCCTCGAACGATAAGAGAATTGGGCTTAATCATTTAAACCCAATTTGATACAGACCCCTACCACATCGCTCAGCAGGCTTTTCAGCCTTTTTCATCTCCATGTCAAAACTTTACTCTTTCGTCAGCCTCTGTGAGGGAGGAAAATGGCTGTAAGGCATGCCCTTGCGTATTACGGCAGGAGACAGGGTCTGTGTCCTATACTGTTAGGAATAGTCCTGAAATTCAATGGTGGCTGAACTCTTGTAGATCACATGCCATCCTTGAACTGATTATTATGGTCAATCATAAAATATACAGGTTAGCTTTCCCCCTGAAAACTGACAGGAATCAGGAGACAAATGAATGCAAAGAGATAATAAAAAGTAGTCACTATAATTCATAAATGGAATTTCATACCTCTAGTGTATTTTAAGAAAGTGTATGGAAATGAGACTTTTTGAAAAATAGTTTTAAACCTGAAAAATATCATCCTTCAGTAGTTCAAAAATAGTTGCCCACACGTTTACCCAAGTATATTTAAATTTGTTAGTAATAATTCTGGCTGCATACAATTGACTGAAATTCAAGGGTTCCCTTAGCAAAAGAGGGCAGTTATCTTCACACTGTAATTTAGGAAACATCTCTACCATTCCCTTCCTCTACCAGCCTAACCTTTTAAATCTGTGATGAAGTTTAGCCTTCAACAAAGGATGTATTTTCTTTTGGTAACAGGGAATTGACCGAAAGGCAAACAGGGAGAAAGGAAAATGGAGGGAACAAAATTTTGCAGACACACAGTTTTGCCTAGAGCTATTCCAGATATTTCTGACTTCTTAAAAACTTGATTTCGTGTGAGCATTTGCATTTGAAAGCAGAAAGATGAATGAATGAAGTGTCTAAGTAGGTGTGATTGCTAGGAAACCAAAACCAATATTGTGGGAGTGGAGCTCACTGTGTATAAAACTTAGATCATCTTATTGTAGAATGTATGTTTATCAAGTGTTCACGTTCATGGCATACCTGTTGTCTTCTGTTTTGATCCCATGCAAATCCTATTGTCTGATCCATTCTTCCCTTATTGCCCTGCAATATTTTCTACTCCTTTAATTTACATGTCTTCACTTTTTAACCAAAATGTAAACATTTGGAGAACAAGAACTTTGTCTTGTCCTTCTCTGGAATTAAACCCAGCATTTCCTAGAGTTGTTCAATAAAAAATTGCTGCTGAATAAATACTTGGGGGAGTTGGATCAAATGATTATTTCATAGTGATTTGAGCAAAGGTAATTGGACCACAGTGATAGGAAAGCGTTTCCTAACTTTATTTTTTTTCTGAGACACTCTGATTAAAGGTTAAATATTGACATACGAAGAAAAAGATCCAGTAAGAAAGGAGACAGCTGACTTTCAAAGATACTGGAACCATTTGAAATTATTTTCATTGTATTTTTGATGCCAAATTTCTTATGACTGTCAAACAAATAGATAATAAAGGAGGAAATTTTATGGGTGTGTCATTATATTTATATATTACTTCCATAAAAATCCATAA